CATTAAAAAATCAAGATCCAGGACTAGGAAAAAGCATGAAATTGGCTCAGAAATAAGGACATTTTGTAGTTATTTATCAAAGTAATAATAAATCTGGTGTTCTTTGAACCTGTCTGTTGTCTTTTACACCTCCAGGAGACAAATATTTCAGCCTTGCCCTTGGCACCAGCAGGGCAAGGAAGCTGCTGACTTGTTACTGGTATTTTTTCTTTTCAATGAAAGTTGGGATTCTGATATATTCACATGACTCTTGCAGCTGGGGATTGGACACCGAACTCCAGATGAGCTGGCCATATTGATTTCAACATCTCATTGGGCTTTGACTGCTGTGTCGGCAGCACAATGTTCTTCTCAGCAAGGAAAAAGAGAAAGGAAAAAAAGAGCCATTTTCTGCAAAGAACATTTTTTGCCAAACCAATTCATTATGTTTAAAATGTTCCCTAAAAACATTTGAATAGAACTTTTTTGGGTCCCTGCCTCTCTATTTCTTTTCTTGTCTTTTCCGCAAATTGCTCTTAGAAAAGGAAGGGGAAAATGATTATTTATGAGGTTTTTTTGGTCAAAAACGAAAATGTCTTATGCAGAAAAAATAACACAAAATCCAACCTTGTCCTCCTAAACCATTTTCTGGCCATCTCCAATGGGCCTAATTCTGTCCTGGGTCCCATCGTAACTGGAGAGAGGCTCCATAATCTCCCTGGTAGGCAGGATCAGGGCCCATGTTGGAGAACTGAGAACCTCACGTGGAATCTCTCTTGCAACAGCGAGTTACATTTGGATGGTAATATAAGAGCTGCCACCCTCGTGATCAGACCCAAAGGTCTGCTCACCCGGGATCTCATCTCTGAGAGTGGCCCAGGCTTGAAAGACCCCCTGATAGGCAGATAAGGGTCAATCAGCCCCCACATTAGCTCTCATCCAAGTCTCTAATAGTTAAAACATCAGCTTCAGCCCCAAAGCTGGAGGGTTCAGATCCCTGCCAACATGAGTGTCAGCTGTCCGCTCTCCGTTCAGCCCTGCTCCCAGCAGAGCTGCCCAGCCCCCCTTGAAACCTCGCTACGGTTTTGGTCTCAGCGGTGATTTCCTGTGGCAAGGAGTTCTGCAGACTAATAACACGGTGCTTGGAACAGCGACAGCCTCGATCCGCTTGGAATTTGTCACCTTGGGATGAGAGGGGAAAGCAGGATTTATGACGCCTTATTTTATAGTGTTTCAGGCTGGCTAACCCCAAGTGTGTGAAAACCCATGAGTCAGGGCCCTGCAAAGTCATGGGGCTGCCTTCAAATAAGGAGATGATGTCTATTTTAAAGACTTTGAGATTCTTTTCATTTGCCTTCTGGAACGAGAGGACCAAAGTGACGCCTTCTGGCCTTTAATACCTGTAAAATCTATGGACGAGAGGGACTAGAAACATCCGTTGTTATAATTATTACGCAAATGGGAGTTCAGGTTCTCCCCGAATCACACAACATCGGCAGCTGGGGCTAGGTAAAACAGCTGCACGTTTGTTTGTGACCGTCAGCCTGTGATGAGCTCTCGCGCAGGATCCACAGCACCTGGTCCACAGGCTAGGTCCATCACAGAGGTCAGTGGAGGGCTGGACCCAGGACACGTTCAGTGACTTTCGTGGATGAAAGCAGAAGAACAGGGGGGTCGTAACTTCATCATCTGTACTTCAAGCAATAGATGACAGCTGCCACCTTGTCTGACAGGCCATGCACTGAACCAGAGGCCTCAGCGCTAATGAGCCAGATGGGGCTAGCTCAGCTCCAAAGTGGGCACCTGTGACACACATGCCCTCCCAGACAGCTAGCCCCGTGGCTTTGTGCTCTTCTCGTTTTCCCTGCACGTGCACATGTTCCACTTGGTTTCGGTGAGAAACTCCATGCTTGATTGCTTCTTTATGGGCCTGCGTGTTTAGCCCCTCCGAGGCAGGTTGAGGGCCTGCCGTTGCCCCAATGGGGAAACTGAGGCACAAAAGGCACAAGCAGGACTAAAACCCAGGAGTTCTCCTTTGATACCTCCTCCCTAACCACTAGATGACAGTGCCTTTGGAGAAGTAGGTGCAAAACCCAAGAGTCCTGTGCAACCCTAGTGTCTTGCTGTAACAACTAGCCCCTCTTCCCAAAGAAAGGAATGGGGACCCAGGCAGCTTGTCTCCCCCTTGCTCTAACCACCAGACCCCTCCTCTCGAAACAGAACCCAGGAGTCCCAGCTGTCTCCTCCAGCATGTCCATCCCACATCCCAAGGTACCATCTATCCATCCCAACGCCGCACCCAGCCCCCAGCCCCAACTCCCAGTGACACCAGGGGTTGTGCCCCCATGGCCCACCCAATCTGGGAAGAGGGGGAACAAATTCATTCACTTCCCCCCTCCTGTCCTTGACTGGCCACTCTGTCGACGTGGTCCCCTCTTTGAAAGGAAGTCCTCAGCTTTGCCATTCTGGCTACATGCATTTTGAGAAGGTCTTTAATGTCATGTTGGAAAATCAATTTGAGGTCAGGAACACACGCCACTGCAATCTTTGATAGTTTTTTCCTCTCTTCCACCAATCATGAATTTGGCCTCTCCCCCCCCAGCCCTCCCCCCAGCCTCCTTTAAAACTTCAGATGCACAAAAAATAAATACTTCCAAATGTGCCTCTGACTGGGCAGCGAGCTGCTGTATCTTTAATTAGTGGCTTTCCTTCCCACTACCACTAACTAAGACGAAAATCCAGTCAAAAAAAGGTCGAGGCAGACCCCCATCGCAGGCACGGCCGCTGCACAGAGAAGGGGCTGGGGAGGTCTCAGAGAGCCAGGAAGGGGCTTCTTTTGTGAGCAATACACAGTCAAGTGATTGGGACCTGCACATTGCCACAGCCATGCAACCATGGTTGGGAAGGACAGAGAGAGCCTCTGGCGGGGGGACGGGTCAGGACACCTGGGTTCAATTCATGCATGATGGTGGGCGACTTTGCCGCCACGTGCCTCGGTTTCCCCCCTCTCTCCTTTGTGAGATCCACCAGCTTTTCAGACCCGGGGCTGTCTCTCATTGTGTGTTTGTTTGGAGTCCAGCACTGCAGGATTCTCCAAGTACTATACTGCAAATAATAATTAATGTTCTCCGAGCCCGTTCAAAGGCAAAGGCGGGGGGAGGGTGGGGGGACCAGGAGGTTGTGGGGCTGCTCTGGGGAACAGGCCAGCTAGTGCAGAGCAATTTATCTGAGGAGAAGCTGGGAAATTGCCGTTGAATCATACGTTCCAAAATGCCACATGGAGCATGCATGGAACAAGCTGATGGGAGCAGATTCAGCTCCCGGTGACACCAGACTCTGGATGAAGGCCGAGTCCGGTTTCACTCCTGGGTCGGTGAAGGCAATGCCATAGATTCTGATGCTTGCCCATGCTAAGGCCGTAGCTCGTGTCATCAGGCACCTACCCTGGAGGTTTTCAAGAGGAGACTAGACAGACACCTCACTGGGGTCACCTAACCCCAGCTGTCTTCCTGCCTAGAGTGGCGGGGCTGGACCCCATGATCTGCAAGGTCCCTTCCAGCCCCTAGCATCTATGAATCATGCTATCCCCACAGAGGCCCACTGTCCATCTCCCCTCAGCTGGTCCAGTACAGGATCTCCCTCACTTCTCTTTCCTCCTTTGCTTCTTCTCTCAGCTCTTTCCTTTCCCAACCCTGCTGTTTCTCCTTCCTCGGCCTGCCCCTTGCTCCCTGGGGATGTCAGCCACTTTGAAACAGGGCCCTTCTAGACCTGTCTACACTGTCACGGTGCTGAGCCAGAGCAGGTCCGAGTGCCTCAGCTCCCCTCCTGGGCTCCCTTAGGTGTGGTCCAGGGTGTCTCTAGGTGGGATGCCACACAGGGGCTGTATAGATCTTTTCCTAGACACCTGGGCCCCATTGCCTTCCTCCAAGTGCCACCGTTCACACCAGTGTGAAGCACGTGCAAAGGGCAGGGTGCACAAGGCACCACGGGGAGCTGCTGTCCAGGATGGCTTGGGGAGACAAGCAAAGGGCAAGTTAGACCAAGTGGGGTGGGATCAGGTCTGCAAGAGTGGTGCACATCTTCCCTGCCTTGGGCTTTGGCAGAGAGGATCAGCCTGGGTCTTGGGGTGGGACAGGGTCACTCCTTTCTTCCCCTTTGCATTTGCTTCCTGGAGAGAGAAGGAGCTGCGGGGGGCTGAGAGCGGCCGCACCAGCCCCGGGAAGCCCTGGGAAATCAAAGCAGAGCTGAACCTTGGCCAAGCCCCAGCAGTGAGAACCAGGGAAGAGGGGACCAGGCGTCAGGCAGCGCCTGCCTCCCACCTCCTCCTCCATGGCTTTCATTCCTCTGTGGCTTTCCTCCCGCATTGTCTCTGCTTTCCTTTCTTTCTCATCTATCTCTTTTCTTCTCCCTTCTATTCCCTCCCTCGGTTCAGTTCTTCCATTCCCCAGTTTCGTCCACTCTTTGGCTTCCTTCCTCGCCTTCCCACTATTTCTTTTTCCCGTTCTTTTCTCTTTCCTTCCCCTCCATCCTTTCCCCCTTCTTCTGTTTCATTTGATCCCCCTTCTCTTTTACCTCCCTTCTCTTTGCTCTCTCCCACCTCCTTTCTCTTTCTTCTTCCCTCCTTCCCTTTCCCCATCCTCCTCTTTCTCTTTTTTCCTCCCTCCGTGTCCTCTTCTGTCCTTCTCTCCCCTCTTCCTCTTCTTTCTTTTCTTTTCTTCCCCCTCCTTTTCCTCTTTTTCTAGCTCTTATGTCTTTCCTTTTCCCTCCCTCCTCCTTTTCCCCTTTTCTTTTCTTTTCTTAGCTCAGAGGGAGCCAGGATAAATCTGAAGATGTTGACTTCTCCCCCTCCACCCCCTTCCCTCCTCCTTTATTGGATACTAGCGGGTCCTCAAAGGCTCCTAGGCTGTAATTAGAGGGTGGATCCTAGAGCAATGCGAGGAGCTCCCCCACCCCCCAGTCCCTTCTAACTACAGATCAACTAGTTCCCTCTCCCTGTCTCTGCCTTCTCAAAATCTACTGCAACCGCCCCAGGCTGGGACACACTCAGAGATGGCATCTCCAGCGCTCGAGGTAATCTCCCCTCTGCATGCATTCAGGGGCCTTAGAGAATCCTGACTTAGCAGCAATTGGGTTTTCTCAAGCCAGGTGGAAGCTAAGCCCCAAGGAGCTGATAAAAGTAAGAAGCGCTCTCTTTTTTTTTTCTTCTTCTTCCTTTCTTTGCACTTTTATTGGGGGTTGTGGGGTGGCGATGAGGTTGAATCCATTGGGGGATGCTCCCCTTGGGGTATCTGCAGAGGGTGGGTAACATTGACCAAAAGACAGGGGCTAAACAGCAGAGATGAGAGATCTCCTTCCAGCCGGGGAGTGCGAGTAGCTGTGGGGAGAGATCCTGGCTGCCCTGCCTTCAGTGTCATCTGTATTTCGTTTGTGTGCGTGCGTGGTGGCAGGGGGGAAGCCTTGCAAAATCAACCCAGGACGCAGTGTGAGTGTGTGTGTGTTTAGGGAAGGGGGGGTCTTCTCCTTTTTTCCAATGCAAGGCAGAACTTGGAAGAGTTAAAATGAAATCCCTTGAAGTTTCTAGCTTCCCCACCCATCCCCAGCAGCGATAGCCTTTGGAGCAAAGGTTGGGCGACAGTCAGAAAACCAACTGCCCAGCCACTGTATTCACAAATATTTAGGTTTTGGTTGAGGACAAACTCACACTTCAGGGCTATTTTCAGGTTTTATTGGCTACGGATATTTCACAGTCTGGAGTTTCTATTTAAAGAGTTGTTTTTAAGGCTTATTTAAAAAAAAAAAAAATCTTTTTTTCATGATCCTATGGGATTTTACAGAGAAATAACATTAGATGGAACAGGGGGTGGGTTTTTGGGTTGTGTTTTTTTTAGGGAATAAAGTTGCTTGAGAAAAGTTTTCTGTTTAAGGGAGAACATGATAAGGAGGGGATTTAATTAAGGAGAGGAAATAACTGTTAGGGATGGCAAAGTAAAACCAGAGACAAACTCGAATGTTAATAATCAGAAAGGACCTGGTAACGAGAACAGCGACTAGTTTGAAATCTAATTTTCGGGGGTGTTGACCGATTTAAGGCCGGGAAGACGTGTGTTCATCAAGCCATGATCTATATTAAAAGCCCCCAGATCTGAAGGGACCTTCCATTGGTTTGAGTCACAGCCCCAGAAGGAAAGACGGCGGTGGTAGGAGGCACGACTCATGCTAGAGCAATGGTGTGTCAGCTTCCTGGGACCAGGTCGCGGGCACGGGGCAATGGGTATGTTAGGTAGAAGGAAGGTTATAAGGGGAAGTGGGGCTCAGAGTGGCACTGAACTGGTCCCGGGAGACCCTGTGACACAGAGGGTGTAAATCAGCATTGCTCCATTGAGGGCATTGGACCTAGGTGGCGGGCTGAGCTCAGTCATTGGGCCGGTGCCCCATCAGAGTCCATGGGGTTGTGTCGTCTTCTGTCACCCCATGCAGTGCCATACCTAGACTCCTGGCAGCCTCGGGTGAACTTGTAGTATTGGGTCCAACTTTGCCATTTATGATTTTTTTGTTGCAAAAATCTTTAACACACCTGTGGTATTAATGTCTTTAAATAGTTCTTTCTCAATTGATAACATTGCCTGCCTTATATATGTGCAATATTAAAACTTGTTTTTGCAATTGTAATTTTTTTTTTCATTTCCGGGCCCCCTTTCTGTCCAGGCCCCAGGTGGCCGCCTGGTTCGCCCATGCCTGTGTCCGAGTCTGACCCCATAGGGGAATCAACAGGGGAGATCCCAGCCAGGATGAAGGGGCCTTCGTGCTGGACACGATGGGTAGATCTCCAGCAGGTGTCTGGCCATGCCTCTCTGGGGAGCTAAGCTTATTCACATTGACTGAATCTAGCTATCAGAGCACCCAGAGCCTTGCAAGAGGTGGTCAGAGCCCTGCAGGATTGGCCCGACAGTGTTTTGAGGATTCCCTGTTTCTCTTTATGCAACTGGGAGGGAGCATATCCCACCACGGTCACTGCCACGGTGCCGGCGCAGGGGGCTTGCAGTGGGTATGAGCCTAGCCGAGAGACAAGCTTGCAGGTTGCCTCTGTCTCCAGCATGGAGTAAGCCCCGCTGGGGTCAGATCCTGTGCGATGCTGCATGCCCTGGGCACACAGCAATCTCAGATTTGGGCTCCTGAGCGTCCCTCGCCGCTTGCCCCATCACAGCCATGATCTGTGTCATATTCAGAGATGGCTTTAGGTGGGTCTTTGCTCTCCCAGGGCCCACCTACCCCATGCCTGACTTTCCACTGCCTTCGGTCTGCTCTGTCTGTACCTGGTTGTGTCTGCCTGTAAGGAAGCTACCCCAGTGCCCTTGATCTATGCTGCAGAGATTCTCCTGTGCCTGTAAACTCTTCTGAGAGGAGGAGTTAGATTAGGAGGGAATTACCAGGCTGGTGATCACGGGATCCCTGTCTTTCAACTCCCCCCCAAAACAGTTTCCTCCCTCCCTGCCCTGAATCCCCCACCTTCCATCCGAAGAGCCCTGGGACAAAAAAGAGCTGCCCTCCTTGATGAGCAGTGCCCTGTGCCCTCACCTTGGCTGCCACCCAGACATGGGAAGCCAGGCCTCAGTGGGTGCCCGAAGTGAGCTTGTGCCTAGACGCCAACACAATTAGGCTTGGGGGCATGGGTACAGCATGGGCAGGGACAAACATGTCCTCCTGGGAAGTGTCAGGCCCCTGGGTTCTGTTGAGTGGTGAGAGCAGGGCACTGCTCCTAGAGGGTGATTAGACTTTGAAGGAGTTTTTTCCAGTCCAGGAAAGCAGCATGACCTAATTGCTACTGGAACAGGTGAAGGGGCTGATCCAGCCTGGACCATGCAGGGAGGTGCAGAAGAAGCACGTGTCCCTGCTGCCAGCACCATCCGAGGCATGCAGCTGCAGGGGGAAGCAGGCAGGATGTGTGCCAGGGACCCATACGTGGCATCACTCAGTGACTGCAGGACCCCACCTGGGCCAGCTGGAAGACTGAGGTCGATGGACCTGAGTGCAGATATCAGGTTGGGGGCAGGAAGGGGATTCACTAACATCCCAAAGCTGGAGATGGGCACATCTTTTTGGAGAAAAAATCCCATTCCCCCTTTAAAAATGAACCAAATTTGACTTGGGAGCTGCAGTGGGTTCCACCAGGGGCCAGTGAGGCTCACGTCCCCCCAAGTCTGGAGGAGCTCAAGGCCAGATGGCAATCAAGCTCTGAGTGAGCCCAGCTCCCATTCAGGCCCCTCAGCACAGGGCTGGATTTCCCCAAGTGTAAACTCTGACTGCTCTGCTGCATCTCCAGCATGCAGGCTCTCCAAAGAGCCCATCACTGCATGCACTATATCCATCCTCAGCTCAAGTCCCTCCCTCTCTGCTGAGTCTTTGCAGACTTGACTGCAGAGCCTACAACTTGTTGCATCTGCTGAGACTCTCCAGGAGAGACCGGCTCTTCTTATCCCCCAATACAAAACACCTGCACCCTGACACTTCCTTTGCTCTTGGTGGGTGAAAGGCCAGAGGTAAAAGGTCTTTTATAAGGTAGGGAAGGTTTATCCCGTTGGATCTTCCCTGTAGATTTTTCTGCCCTGCAATGCTGGTTTGGTTATAATGGTCATTTATTTGTATTATGTTAGCACCCAGAAGACCTGATCCTGGAGCAGGACCCCTTGCTGCACTAGGTGCTGTACAAACCCAGAGCAAACTGGCCTCCCCAAGGGAGCTCAGAAGCTAAGAGGCAGTGGATGGGAGAGCACAAGGAAGCAGGGAAACAACAGGGCAGCATGAGGGGCAGGGATCTTAGGAGCCGATTTCCAAAGCTGCCTGGGTGGGGGAATGGTTATCATCATTAAGATGCCCCATCATCAGTGTCTCTTGCCATGACATCTTGGAGGCCCGAGAGGAGATCAGGGCTCTGCCGAGAGACAAGCTGAAGGATGATGCCTGCCCGAGAGAGCTCACAGGGTGACTGAAACAAAAGGTGGGTCAGTGGCACAGCTGGGAAGAGAAGCCAAGTGTCTTGAGGCCACTGGGAAACATCTCTCCCATTCAGATGAACCCCCTAGACAACTTGGAAGCCCCTTCCTTTGCCTATACCAATAATAGCTTTTGCAAAGATTAACAAGCCCCTCCTGCCTAAGGTAAGGCAGAGGTCATACGGCTGGGGAAACTGAGGCACGGGGTCTATTCATGAGGTGGGAACATTTGCAGCTGCCATTAGTGCCCTCTCTGTGGCGCTAATGGCACTCTCTTCCGGCTCAAATCACTAATACCTCAGAGACAAACTTTCCTATTTAATCTGACGTGCGTGTGTCAAAAAGTGGTGTATAGCTCCAGGCACGTGTGGTCAAGAACTTGAAGAGGAGCTGGTGCTGAAGAGGAAGGCACAGGGGGATGGGGTAGCTGATCTGATGAGAAGAGGAGAGTTTGGCTTGTTCAGGTCCTGGACAAACATAGGTAGAAGGCGAAGGCCACAAGTTAAGAGATCCCGTGGGTACAAGCGCTGTTGGAACAGATTGACTGGGGCTAGATGAAGGCTGGAAGGGAGAATATTGGGGCAGTAGGAGCTGCCCCCGGGCAGGGCACTGGGGACAAAGAAACCCAGATCCTTGTTAGAGGGGGCTTGGTACTTTTAGGAATGGATGACACCATGTCTGCGATAGCTGGGGGCTGCAGTCAGTGGCCAGTCCTATACCAGTCCTATACATTACTCTAAAGAAGGATGTTTGAACTGGATCAAATCTAAAGGCACCACAGCTTTAAACCAGATGTGACAGCACCTGGGCAGGGGTATTGCTAAGGCAAGGCTTTGACACATTTGGGTTACATGGATGCAGTCTGACTACTAGCTGTACCATGAGCCCTGCATCAGTTTGGCTCCATGGGTTTTCAATTCTATGTTATCGCTATTATGAATTGTGCCGATTTTGGTTGGCTGTGCCAAGATGCCAACAAAGAGAGGGGTCCCAGTGTGCTGGGTGATGCGCAAGCCCAGAGTAGCAGTGAATCCTTGCCTCAAGGTGGTGACAGCCTAAATAAATGAGGCAGATTCAGAGCAAGGAAGAGACCCCTGGGCAGAGTGAGCATTGTGATAGCAGCCAAAGACGCGTGTGTGTGCGTTGCAGAGAGGCTGTTGGAGGCCGTTAGAAGAATGTAGTGTTC